ATGATTGATTTATGTTGTTTTTTATCTTCCGGTTAAGGGATTTATGCCTTTAGTAAATCTGTATGCAATATTTTTAGAATTATCAACAATTTTAAAATTGTTTAAGTGCCGCTAAGCCTAATTTGATGGCGGCCATTGCTCTTGTTTACATTTGAAACAGCTGAGTAGCGGATTTATTGCCATTCTAGAGAAACTTAGCTTCGCAACAACAAAGATAACGCATTCATTTATTATTTAAATCATGCTTAATCCTTTCTGGAATTTATTCGAGGAAATAAGCGTTTAAGATTTACTTCCTAATTTTTAATACAGATATTTTGAGTTTCTATGTATTTTTGCCTTGTCGCGAAGTGAAAACTGAATTCATTGAATGAGAAATACTCAATCGTCTGTAAAAAACTGTTTCTTTTTTGTTTTGTTTTCTTAATTTCTTTTATACATAGTTCTAGCTTTATTATAGTATTTGAATAGAACATGTGGCAACGATAAGATAATTCTTTAAATGATATAAATTTTGTCCATTCTGAGTTATAATATGAACGAAATATAATAGTGCCAGAGTGTCGCTATGGTAAACAAAGTGAATTTTAAAGAATACATTTATTCTATTGTGGTTTATGCGCTGTCGGCGAAGTAGGTTTAATTCAATCAAATAAGTTTAAATGAAATGCAAGAAAAAATGCTCCTAATTTAATATTCCGTACAAGGAAGTCAAGTCATGTGGTGTACACATCAGATTTTTTTTTAATTGTGTTTGCAGACGAATTTGGTGGACCTTTTTTTTTTCCTGGGTGTATAAGATTCCCATTCTGTACGAAGAAGTATAGTACAAAACGGTTTGGTTCGTCTTTGGCAAGGACTTTTTAATAAGTTGATATCTCTTGCCTATTCATTTGGGAGGATGGTGTTATAAGATTTTTTTGAGAAAATCTTCTCCGAACTGTCAAATAAACAACCGAATCAGCAGTTGTCGCGCCATGCCATGCGGCTCAACATGATGATACCTCAGCTAATTTCACCGGTGACGGTCAGAAACACTGAAATATGATATTTGGACAACACTGGGTTTGGCGTTTCATTGGCCTATACATCGCTGGACTTATCTTTCCCGAATATTTTTATCTGAGGTCATATGAAAGACCTGATGTACAATATACCGATATAGCCGTGGACAGTGAAGAAGATATTGTCGCACGCACCTGTCTAGCTTTTGCTGTCCTCTCCGAGAGATGACCAAAATATTTTTAAACATCCGCGATTCCATGAAGTGCCAATGTCAGGCTTATGTTGCAGATGGAGTGCGAAACTCTATGTGACATCTCTTAATATCACAACTGTTACATTCTAAGGAATAAAATAAAGTTCTTCACTTAAGTGTTTTTCCTTTATGTCTCGTGTTTTCTTGCCATGACAATGGTTGCCATCTGCATTGCTATTTGACCCTTCATTGCTATTTGATCCCATTTCGTCTTTGAGTGACTTAACCCTCTCAGATGCACATGCTGTAGCGAATCCTCTCATGTATGGCAGTGTAATACGCGATGCGCGCAACACTTAAAAATATCTCCCCAAGGGCTTTCATAGATATATTTAAAACATATTTTGAAAAAAATAAACTGCGAACAAAATATATACAAAATATGTTTCTGAAGTTTTGGAAGATTTCTACCACCACGTTTCTGTGTGATGAGAGTAATTTTTTGTGGTTTCTTTAGTAAAAACATATATGCATTGGCCAACAAATATTTTTTATTCCAAGTTTACTGACATTTTAGTGATATCAATGGGTATTACATTTAATGCCCTTTTTCTCCGTGAAAATTATTATTATGATTGAAAAAATTGTGCATTAGTTCCATCTTGAATCCCAGTGAAATGAATAAAATATTTACAAACTCAGTATCTGGCCGAAGTAATTATATTCTTTTTAAAGATCTTTTAAAAGAAAATTTAATAGTGTTAATTAATGTAGAAGGTATTTTAAAACTCAACAATGATATTAGGAAAAAAAGGAAGTCAAGATTTATTTTGCAAGAAATATTGCATATTGAATATTTTACGTTACCTCTTAAGGGTTACACAGAGATGTTGAAATTTGCAATAACGCTTTGATGTTATTTGAAAACACTTTGATAAGTACGAGTGGACTATTTTATAGGCAGGATAAATTTCATTAGCTTTGTGGAAAAAAAAGACATTCTTAATTTTTTTTATTTAAATCTCATTTATACAATTTGCGTTTCATAATATCAACAATGAGTTAGAGTTTCTTTAACAAAATATAAAAATGAAAAATGCAGATATACAAGATCGAAAATAATGGAAAATCAGCATTAAAAAAATCGACTCAATGTAAAATGAAATCTCTAGAAAACTGGAATTTCAGAAAATTGAATTTCAGAAATCTTAAATTATTTTCATCCAGATTTACGGTTGCCATTAAATAGCCATTAAAGTAGATGCTGCAGCATCTGATTCCTTACCCTTACTGATGAGTTCATTCTACACTGATTATTTGTGGACTGTCTATAACGTAATACATAAAAAGATTTATGAACAAAACCAAGATCCAACTCATGAATATATTGTGTCGGATGCGTGTCTAGAACTGGAGCGAATTTAAACAGGAAAATCATATATAATGTAAGGTTTTCCTTAATCCCCGCTTTTCATTCTACAGATCCTGAACAGACTGCATGATTATGCGTAGCCTGAGGAGCGAAAGAAGGAAGGTGATAGTCTACTCCAGGGATTCTCAACCGCTGGTACGCGTACCACTTGTGGTACTTTAGAGAAAAATAGGTAACATACATAGTATTTTAACTGTTAAATTCAAAAATTAAATACTCCAACATCATGTTTAAGTTTTTTTCTCTAGCACGCGTAAATTTATGCGATCTGAGCTTTGTTCAAGGTCAATAACGGCTCATAGACTTTAGCAAAATTATCCACGTTTACTTTCACATATACCAAAATTTGTCACCATTTTTAAAAGGAGTAATAGAAATGGGTATTTTATGTAATATGAAATAAAAATCAGTTCCTATAATAAGATAATAATATCTCATTAATTCTTTTATAGCTGTTCGATTTATTTAGCATGTCTACACTTTATATCGCCACCATTTCCGGACTCATATTGCTCTAGTTTCAGTTAGGAAGAATTTTCTACGTCGATTTGCTGTCTCTAACAGCAGGTATTTTTGTCTTCTTTTTGATGTGTTCCTTACTTTTTTATACGATTTGAGAATATCGTCGTTTGAAGAACGGTAATATATTGAGTATTTTAATATTTGGGAAAAAATAATAAAACAAACTTAGATTTTCAAAATGGAAAAATGGCTAGGTTTGACTAAGCAGAAAAGTGATGATTCACAGGTGATGGATCCAGGACAATTTATTAGCACTAAGAATATCGGGGGAAAAAAAGAAAAAATTGTTCATAGAAAATGTAATGAAGGTTATTTATCATTCGGGTTTACTTCGAATGGAGATAAAATGAACCCTCAGTCTCAAAGTGCTGTTTGGGGTGAATTATTTTCCAATCAAAATATGAAACGATCGTTTCTTAAAAGACATCTAGAATCTAAGCATGCCAATTTAAAGGATAAATCAGAAGAATATTTTAGGAGGAAATTATGGGAGTTCAAAAGTAATAAAGAAGTAATGAAAGATTTTGTTACTTAAAGTGAAAAAGAATTAACGAAGTGTATTTATTTTGTGAATCTCTTCATAATAGAGCAACTGCAAATGAAATTTTCAAAGTAATCGATAATTTTATGTCTGAGAATAAGTGCATTGCCGTGTGCAGAGACGGAGCTCGGCTTTAACAAGAAAGCATTCCAGTGTTATTACTGAAATAAAGAAAGTCGCACCTGAAATTAAATTTACTCATCCCCGAAAACCAGAATATCGTTTTCAATTAAGCTGCGAACGTTGTTAATTTTATTAAAATCCGAACTTTAAATTCAAGAATATTTACGATCCTATGCCAAGAGATGAGCAATGAATATGAAACGCTTTTGTTAAATTCCGAAGTTAAAGGTTGTAGGATTTTCCATTGTGTATTTCTAAATTACAGTTGAAAGTGAAGAACCTTAAGAACTAGTAAGCGAATAATCGCTTGATTTCGTGAGACAGAAAGAAACAAGATAGAAGGGTAAAATAACCCTGGCGTAATATTCTAACTAAAATTTAACGAAACTCCGTCTTGGAGTTGTACAATAAAGCCGACACTTGGGCTTGAACTTAAGAGACTAAGAATTAAACTACACTAATCTTAACTAAAGAGATATAGCCGAAGCTATCAAAATTCTAACAGAGTTGGCCCTTAAACGTTAATGACTGCGAGATATAAGGGCCTAAAGTACGGCCGAGCGTAATATAGCTTACGAGAGAGTAGCCTAAAAAGGCGGACGCGTGCAGCCAGAATATCTGGTATCTCTCTCACTAAGACTGTAGAAATTCGCGGTTGTATACCGCTCTTCCTCATTAGCATTCAGACGTGATTCTAAAACTAAGTTCTGGCCGGAAGTGGTAAGTTGAAGTAAGAATCAATAGGAAAGGAAGTTTAACTCAAAATTTAACTTTTAGTAAAATTAATATAATCTTTACAAGGTGGTTATCCAGAGGCAAATTTTAAACCGTCTTTTTGAACTTTGATCAGAAATTCAAATTTTTCTTCTCTGTGATTCAAAATCTGTATTGCAAAATTGTTTATTTAATGAATTATGGTTGGCATGTTTAGCATATTTAGCTGATATTTTTGGAAAGTTAAATGAATTAAAGTTAATATCACAATGACAAAATGTTAATTTGTTTACCATTAAAGATAAAATAAATAGAATGATAAAAACTCGAGCTAATAATCAAAGAATTGGATAATAATATTTTAAACGTTTGCCACTTTTAGAAAGTTTTCTAACCGAAAATAGTTTGAAAAGAAAAGAATTAGCATCCGACATTAAGAATCATTATTTCTCATTGATAAATAATTTCAACATGTATTTTCCCAAAGATTATGAAAAAGGAAATTGGATAAGAAATCCATTTTGTTCAAATATACCTGAAATTTTATTGGCTGAACTGGAAAAAAGAATTTAAAGGCATTTCAAATAAAGTTATTCAATTTTTACCGCCTTTTTCCACAACCTATTGGTGTGAGCAAGGATTTTATTCCATGTTATATTTGAAAAATAAATACAGAACAAAATTAAAACTGGATCCTAATTTATGGCTAAAACTGAGTGAAATAAGACCAGACATAAAAACATTGATCTACCTTTAAGGCCCAAATTTGGTACTAAATTTTAGAATCAAAGTATTATAACCTACATTTTGATAATTAAATTGATAGCCAATATTTAATCTATTATTTTTTATGTGTGCATATTTAATACAAGTATCCAGTAGGTTGTGCAAATGGCAAAATATACTTTTTTAAATATTTCTGTTGAGAAATTGAAAAATAATCGTTGGTATTAAAGTTTTCCAATTTTGGTTTAGATGGTACGTGTTAGTCTAAAGGCTGAGAACCGCTGGTTTACTCCATCTCTATGATCACCCACAATGACATCCTAGACAATTGAAGTTATGATTGAGAGAAAGGACAATTTACAGAATTCGAAAACAGTTGGAGGATTCTGACTTTAACGTGGGGGCGGTGCACGATCGTGCTAACGCGTGGCAAATGTGCAGCAGTCGCCACCTTTGAAGAAGGTCTGGCAGTGAATCAAAATATGTGCCAAAACGTTCTGACGACCGTAGTCAAATCCTGGCTTGAAGTTGTTCCAGGAAGAACTTCAAGCAGGACAACTTCATGTTACAGCAAAATTCTGCATCAGCACAGAAACAGATAAAAAGTGGTTCAAGGATAATATTTTTTACCATGTTTCCTCTGCTCCAAATTCATCTGTCTGCAGTCTTCTGGACTATGATGTTCAGAGCTCTGTTGAAAGGACTACTAATGGAATTGCTTATAACAATAAATGTGAGCTGAGGGAAAGAGTCTGCTAGGATTTCAAAATTTATCTGCTGGGATATAAAAATTTACCTGTATTCGCTTCCGAAATTAACTAGAGGCTGTAATTGAATAAGTACTATTTATAAAGCATTACTTTGCTTTTTTGTCTAGAATTTTCCAAAAGATTTAAAATTAAAAATTTTATAGGTGTTTCTTTTTATGTATTTTCCGCTCCAATTCTATTTGCGCACCTAATATATCAATATCATCTAACATTCAGAGGCTTTCGTTAACATAAAAATGATGTCTGGAGCAAATCTCGATGAAGAATTTGTACGCCGCCGAAGAATCAAAAAGTAGCCTTAAGAATTTTTAAAAAATTATTAATGTCTATTCTGCACAAATAGGAGTAAAATTATTTCCTCTTTTATTAACACATTCCCGACAATATGTCGAACGAAGTGGAAAAATACTGTGTGGTTCACTATATAGCTTCTTACGCATCACCTATCTTTACCACGCTGTCTCTACTGAATTCCTTCCAACAAATATAAAAGAAATTCTCCTTCTAATGAATGAATGGATTTATTAGTCCTTGTAATGATATCCATGTCTTACATGACGCAGTTGCATGCATTTTTGTACTGGATGTGGAGATTATTTCTTCTGGAAAGCTGCAGTATGAACCTAATGCTGTATGAAGAGTTCTGACGAAAAAAAAAAAGGTGTTTCCTCTCTTGGAATGAAAGTTAAGTTTTGCGAGGAAGCTCTACCCTTTGTTATAATCTTGTGGTGTCCAGATTGCAATCCAAAAACTTATCCTCGTCATCACTATCGAAGCATGGTTTGTACCAGAACTTAAATTGTAGCAGAGGAATCTCATTCACTTCTCTGTAAAATGGCAGTTCCTTTTTCAACCTGCTCAGCCATCTTAAGATTTTGGGATAAGGCTTCAGGTCATAATTGTATACCTGCGAAAATAAAAGTTTAAACATTAACTTGCAATATCATTTTCAGTTTCAGTTTTAACATCTAAAAGGCGTCATATACGAGTAAATTGAATTTTACTTCCTTGTACGAATTAAAGGAAGTATTGTAATCGCGAAAGTTTTCAGGTATTACACTGAAGTGACAAAAGTCATGGGATACCTCCTAATATTTTGTGGGTCCTCCTTTTGCCCCGCGAAGTGCAGCAACTCGACGTGGCATGGACTCAAAAAGTCGTTGGAAGTCCTCTGCAGGAATATTGAGCCATGCTGCCTCTATAGACGTCCATAATTGTGAAAGTGTTGACGGTGCAGGGTTTTGAGCACGAACTGACCTCTCGATGATGTCCCATAAATGTTCGATGGTATTCATGTCGGGCAATCTAGGTGGCCAGATTATTCGCTGGAATTGTCCAGAATATTCTTCTAACCAATCGCGAACAATTGTGGCCCGGTGACATGGCGCATTGTAATCCATAAAATCCCATTGTTGTTTGAGTACGAGAAGTCCATGAATGGCTGTAAGTGATCTCCAAGTAGCTGAAGGTATCCATTTCCAGTCAATGATCGGTTCCGTTGCACCAGAGGACCGAGTCCATGTCATGTAAAAACAGCCCAGATCATTATGGAACCACCACCAGCTTGAACAGTGCCTTGTTGACAACTTGGGTCCATGGCTTCGTGGGGTCTGCGCCACATTCGAACCCTACCATCAGCTCTTACCAACTGAAATCGTGACTCATCTGACCAAGCCACGGTTTTTCATTCGTTTAGGGACCAACCGATATGCTCACGAGCCCACGAGAGTCGCTGCAGGCGATGTCGTGCTGTCAGTAAAGGTACTCGAGTCGGTCTTCTGCTGGCATAGCCCAAGGAAGACAAATTTCGCCGCACTGTCCTATCGGACACGTCCCTCGTACGTCCCGCATTGATTTCTGCGGTTACTTGGCGTTGTTGCAGTGTTGCTTGTCTGTGAACATTGACAACTCTACGCAGACGTCGCTGGTCTCAGTCGTTAAGTGCAGGTGGTCGGCCACTGCGCTGTCCATGGTGGGATGTTATGCCTGAAATTAGATACTCTCGGCACACTCTTGACACTGTGGATCTCGGAATGTTGAATTCCTTAACGATATCCGAAATGCAATGACCCATGCATCTAGGTCCAACTACCATTCCGCGTTCAAAGTCTGTTAATTCTCGTCGTGCGGCCATAATCACGTCAAAGCCTTTTCACATGAATAACTTGAACACAAATGAAAGCCCTGCCAAAGCACTTCGCATTTATACATTTTCTACGCGATACTAGTGCCATCTGTATATTTGCATATTGCTATCCCATGACTTCTGTCACTTCAGTGTATATTTCAACGAAAATATTCAATTTGATCGCTGTCGAATGCAATTTAACGATGTTTTTGAGTGATATCTGTACGTAAGGACAGAATAAAGAATTCTTTTTCCCAAGTTGAATTGTAAAATGGATTTAAAATGGATTCAGAAGAGATTTTTTTTCCGTGGCATGTGTACGTACACGTTGAAATTTTGTATATAGGACTCTATAACATGTAGTTGTGCATTTCTCATTTTGGTTAAAATCGGCCTCATCAAATATAATATATATATATATACTCGCTCTATTACTAGGCTCCATGAACTCGTTTTATTTATTATTTTTTTATTATTATTATGCCTCTTTGTTGGTAAATTGTGCATTTTTTGCTTTAAAAATAATTGAATTAGGTTGTTCTTATGTTCCGGTTAAGACTTTTGTGCTTTTAATTAATCTGCATGCAATATTTGTGTAATTATAACAATTTAAAAGTTGTTTAAGTGCAGCGAAGCGGAATGGAACAGCCATATTTGTTTGTATTTGAAACTTAGAAGAATAGTGAATTCAGTCAGTTTCTGCGCCTTCAGTGTCTTTTTGCCGAGTGAGACCAAACGCAAATATGCACTTAAAAATCTGCCTTCTTTCCCGCTGGTCGAATTGCTTCTTTTTGCGTAGAAACTCTAATTTTAATTGTAAAACATTTTTAATTGTATGTGCTGTTTTATGTTTTTCCATATTTTTCAATTTTTAACGAAGATATTTTGAGTTTTTATGTATTTTTGTCTTGCCGCGAAGAGAGAACTGAATTGACTAAATGAGAAATATATGTATAATGAAATTCGAGGAAATAAGTTTAAATGAAATGCAGCAAAAAATGTGTATAATTTTGTAGGGTTTATATTTATTTTAACTAACATTTATTTTAAGATTAAACTATCTTTCCTGTCAAGCCTTACTTTCCCCTGGAATTGCCAATGTCAGAGTATGTAAATTTTAGTAGAATGCGCAAGGATTCAAATTGTAAGCGGAAGTAATTCTGAGTTAAATAGAAGGGAAACGGGTTCGAAGGTGTGCTTTCTTGCTTCACGAGCGTGGAGGTGGCCAGTTAGAAATTGAAGAACCACGCGTTTCGGCCTGTGTGCTTGCCTCGGCAGTTTGTTAATCGTTCAACGTAATATTCAGAAGTTTGCTGAATTATCAGCGGTATTTTAGAACGTGGTGAGGTTAGTTACGTTTAGAGAGCCTCGTAGTTAGTCACTAGTTATTATCTCTTTTCAGTTTCTTATTTTTATTTTACCACTGGGTCGGCGTAGTTTGTGAGCGTCAAGAGCACGCATTTGTAATTTCTAAAGTTGAATAAAAAGGGATTTTAACCCTTCTCAAGACTTTGGTCTACTTTCCAGTTTTTAGCAGTCACCACTATTGTTGCGTGCAGGTTGGAAGCGCGCAACATTACACTGGCGCCCGAACACTTTTCGAACTGAAATGGCCTAAAATTGAATGGAAGTTGCTGGACAACAACAAGAAATGGCAAGCCAATTGGAAGGATTTGGATACCTGGTCCAGACGATGAGAGCGTCAATTAAGCCAAGCGTCAATTTCGACGGAAAAAATTCGGTGGCGATATTTCTAGAAGAACTAGACAATCACTTCCAGCTCTACCCTGTGCCTGAAAGACAAAAAGTTGCCATCGCCACATCTGCACTAAGAGGACAGGCCGCGCTATGGTGGAAGAATATAGGCAAATTTTTATTAGGGGAATTCGGAGGCCAGACATATACATTTGAAAATTTCAAAAAATCGTTATTAAAGGCCTTCCCCATAGTGAAAGATCGAGCAAGGCTAGAAGCCGAACTGTATAGTTTTTATCAACGGAATATAGAAGAGTTGACGGACTTTATTCTGCGAAAAATTAAGCTGACGGATATGCTGTATGGGAAGAGACCCGACGCGGAGATTATTGAAATAATCTTACCAAGATTACTACCTGCTGTTCAAGATTACTTTGAAATTAGAAACCCAAGCACATTGCAGGAGCTCTTCGAATTGGCGGTCAAGTTTCAAAATCGCAGAATAGCGGAAAAAGCTAGAGGGGCATCGTATTCTCAAAGTATCCGAAGGCAATCTTCAAATGAGCAGACCAGAAATGCAAACCGCTCTTATGGGGGGAAAGAGCTATCAAGCTAACTCATCGAAGCTCGAAGGTCAAGGCCCAAAAAGGAAATTCGAAAACAACCGTCCGCGTACCCAGAAGGCAGAAGTTGAAAGGAAAGCTTTAAACGAGTAGAGGGGCCTGTGAAAGCGAGGGTCCAGACCCCGGAAGTTTTGAAAAAACCCTCAAAAAGACACTTAAATACGGTCATCGTAAAAAACTCCCATCTACCAATTATACAAGTCCTGGTTGGCGATGTACCAGTAGAAGCCCTCATCGATACAGGAGCAGAAGGTAATTTTATGAGTGATATTTTTTTAAGAAGAACTTTAATAGGTTTCGATTATTTAAAAATAAAAACACAGAAATCATAGCAGCGCAAGGACAAACTTGTCAATGTATTCGGAAACTATCTTTAAAATACAGGTTCAAAACGAAAGCCTTAAAGTATTAATTTTTGTAGTAAAAAAATTTGCAAAATCCACTTATTTTAGGTATGGAGTTTTTAAAAGCCGCGAAGGCCAAACTGAATTTTCAGGACAGTTCTATTGTGCTGGAGATGGACGGAGGGTGGTGGAACCAGTGGAACAACCGCAAGTTGACCTTAGCCATTTGAATGACCATGAAAGTCAAGCCATCCAGCAAGTGGTGAGTACTTTTTCAAACTTGTTTTCAGAACGGCCTGGTAGCTGTCAAATAGTTACGCATGAGATACAGTTAACTGCCGACAAACCCTGTAGGACTAAACCTTATCGCTATGATAAACAAAAAGAGCTAATCATAGAAGAACATATTCAGGAAATGTTAAAGAACAAAATAATAACGCCCATAAATAGTGAGTACGCGAGTCCAGTCGTACTATGTAGGAAAAAGAACGAGTTTCCTCCTTCGGATAAAAGGGCTTGGAGGTTTGCTATCGATTACAGAAAACTGAATAGTATTACTAAATTCCCAGTTTACCCTTTGCCGGTTATAGAGGAAATTATTAGAAAGATTAAATCTACAAGATACATGACTACTTTGGACTTAAACGTCTGGCTACTATCAAATAGCTATGAGACCCGAAGACATACATAAAAACCGCGTTTATAACAAAATCGGGCACTTATGCATTTTTACGCATGCCCTTTGGGTTGTGTGGGGCCCCATCAACATTCCAGAGAGCTATGGACATTGTTCTAAAGCCTGTCCTAGGAAAATCGACTTTAATCTATCTAGATGATATAATTACAAACGAGTAGTACGTTGGAACAACATTAAAGATCTAGAAGAAGTTTTTAAATTATTAAAAAGAGGCCGGTCTTACAATTAACGCCTCAAAATGCAAGTTCGCAACTAAAGAACTTAAATATCTGGGTTATAAAATTTCGCAAAAGGGTATAGAAACTCAAGATTCAAAAATAAAAGCCATCAAGAATTTCCCACCGCCCAACACCGCCAAGAAACTTTCTTCTTTCCTTGGGTTATGTTCTTACTGTCGGTCTTTCATAAAAGATTTCGCTAATATTATTGAACCACTCTTAGTAATCAAAAGAAAGAGAGGTAAATTTACGTGGACAGCGGAAGCAAATACAGCTTTTGAAAGATTAAAAGAAGCGCTCATCAATGCCCTGTTTTAAAATTCCCGGAGGGGGACGAAAACCTGGAAATTGCAGCAGATGCGTCAGACTATGCGGTGGGTGCGGTTCTTATGCAAAATAGCCATCCTCTGGCATTTTTTAGTAAAACGTTGAATCGGACACAAAGGAATTATACAGCTACAGAAAGAGAAACATTAGCCGTATTAATGGCTGTACACAAATTTCGAGTTTATTTCGGCAAAGCGCCAGTAACAGTCTTTTCGGATCATGCGGCTGTTGGTAGACTTTACTCGGGGAAAAACCTAACGCCCAGGTTAATTAGATGGGCTTTAAAAACTCCAAGAATATAATCTAATAATCAAAAATAAAACCGGGTAAGGAAAACAATGTAGCTGACGCACTTTCTCGTATCAAAAACTGGACGATGAAGGCAATGAACTTAAATGCGCTGTGTTGACTTCAAAAATTTTAGATTCTAGAGATACGATTATCACTGAACTGAAAGCTGATCCTGAATTTGGAAATATCTATGCATATTTGAAAGACCCCGAAAGCTTTGAGCACACAGATATCGATGCGATAAGAAATAGAGCAGAAAACTATGAAATAATAGATAATTTATTATTTTATACGAAAACAACAAACGAAAATCTCGAGTACAAACCAGTCATCCCAGCCTCGCTTCGATTAAGCATTTTGAAGGAATTACACGACGCGAAAACAGCGGGTCATTTAGGGGTCCGAAAGACTTTAAAAAAGGGTACGCGAGGCGGTATATTTCCCGCAATTATACAAAATAGTAACTGCGTATGTCAGGTCCTGCAATCAATGTCAGTTAATAAATGATATTAATTACAGCCCGGCCGGGTACTTAAATAGCATTCGCGCTACATTTCCGAATGAAATTTTAGGCATAGATCTTCTTGGTCCTTTTCCCCAGAGTGAGTTAAATAAAAATCGTTTTCTTTTAGTAATTGTAGATCATTTTTCAAAATGGACAGAAATTGTTCCCACTTAAACGCGCGTCAGCCAAAACAGTCGCAGATGCATTCTTACACAGATACATTTTAAAATACGGTGCACCGATAAAAGTCATTAGCGATAACGGTAAACAATTCGTTAGTCAAATATTTGAAAACATATGCACTGGACTTGGCATACGCCATATATCAAAATGGTTCCGTATAGACCACAGGCAAACATAGCAGAAAGAGTTAATAAAAACATTGTAAAAATAATTCGAAGTTATGTTAGCACACATCACAAGCGCTGCGATGGCTACATAAATGAGTTAGCTTATGCTTTAAGAACGGCAAATCACGATACTACGGGAAAAACCCCACCAGAATTATTTTTAGGACGGAAGTTAATCACGCCTTTAGATAAATTATTCTTTGTGCAACAAAGAGAGCAAGAATTTAAACAGAAAGATGTGCAAACACTTATTGACCAGGTTGAAAGCTCGGATACGGCAAGAAATAGACAAAAGTTATATTATGATAGAAAACGCCGTGAAGCAGATTTTAAAGTTGGTGATAAAGTGTTGAAGCGGAAATTTTCTCTGTCAAATGCCCCAGACAATTTTACTGCAAAGTTAGCTCCAAAATTTGAAGACCCCTATGTAATTCAGGAAATCAAGGGAGTCGTATTGTACCTTAAGAACGAAAGAGGGGAAATCTGTAAAGCAAGTCCCGACCAGGTGAAAAAATATTATAATCAAAATGATTTTGAAATCCTTAAAAGTTTCTTGCAGGACTCAAGCGTGTAAGTAAGCGTGTAAAAGAAGTAGAAGGTCCAGAAGTAACGTCACCCGTTCCACCACCCAAGAAGCAGAGAACTGAAGAGAAACCTAGCCCTTCTACAACCCATGCGACGGTACTGAAAAGAAGAAATGAAAACTTTCAGACTCCAGCATTTAAGAAATACAAGAAAGCAAAGTCGCCGCGTAAAGAAACCTTGGTAAAGAGGAAAACACCACTTATAACGTATCGCAGTAGAAATTATACATCGAGGAGAACGCTCCCAGGGCCAGACAGTCAGGTGCAAACAAGGCCGCCGTTCCTGAAATTCGTATTCTTGTATTAATAAGAACTTTAGTTTCAGTGCCGCCAGCTTGGCGAAGAATGACTAAAGTAAAAATTTATTTTTCTCTTATTCATTTTATGGTAAATTGTAAAAATCATATGTATTAGAATTTTGTAAATATACGTAAATACTTGAAAGTTATGTAAAAGTAGAATTTAGTCTAGAAGCATAAAAATTTTAGATGCTAAAAGTAAATGCTCAAAAGCAATTAATTCAAATTTAAGTATTAATGTGTAGATAAAATCATGCTTTAGAGCGAAAGCCTGCATGTCTAAAGATGAATGAGGGGGAATTTAGAATTAATGTGTTTTGTAGGGTTCTCCACCTACACTTGAATTTTAAGAATGTTAAAGTAGCTCATCGAGTTGTAGAATGTCGAGTAAGGTGTGTCTATTTGGTCGTTGAATTCTAACAAATCATTGTGGTTAGGGGAAGTGTTGCAATACTAAAACACGAATATACCCGTTTGACACCACACATGGTGGAGAGCCAGGGTAAAGTTAAATTCATGTTTGAATACTTGAATGAATGTGAATTAAGCAGTAACCAAGGAAAATAAATCGTTCAAAAACAAAAACTTATTCAGTGTCAAGAAAGTGTAAATTATAATGTATTTAGAAAGATACTGATACTTATTCCTTCCAGATGCTGGAAGGAAGAGAACAGATTGATTGCTGAAGTCCAGGAAAGGTTGCTGTAAGAAGAGAGAATTAAATAAGTATCTACAGAAATTTATTCTACCTTTTCTGAAATAACAGATTTTTTTTTTTTTTTTTTTTTTTTTTATGTAAACGAGGCTCTTAAAATTTAGTTCAGAATTGTGGAAACTTTTCAACAGGTCGTTTCTAGGACCTGCTTCTAAGTTTACCAAATTCTGGCAGCGGCAAATGTAGGGTTTATATTTATTTTAACTATTATTTATTTTAAGTTTTCCTGTCAAGCCTTACTTTCCCCTGGAATTGCCAATGCCAGAGTATGTAAATTTTAGTAGAACGCGCAAGGATTCAAATTGTCAGCGGAAGTAATTCTGAGTTAAACAGAAGGGAAACGAGTTCGAAGGTGTGCTTTCTTGCTTCACGAGCGTGGAGGTGGCCAGTTAGAAATTGAAGAACCACGCGTTTCGGCCTGTGTGCTTGCCTCGGCAGTTTGTTAATCGTTCAACGTAATATTCAGAAGTTTGCTGAATTATCAGCTGTATTTTAGAACGTGGTGAGGTTAGTTACGTTTAGAGAGCCTCGTAGTTAGTCACTTGTTATTATCTCTTTTCAGTTTCTAATTTTTATTTTACCGCTGGGTCGGCGTAGTTTGTGAGCGTCAAGAGCACGCATTTGTAATTTCTGAAGTTGAATAAAAAGGGATTTAAATCCTTCTCAAGACTTTGGTCTACTTTCCAGTTCTTAGCAGTCACCACTATTGTTGCGTGCAGGTTGGAAGCGCGCAACATTACAATTTAATAGGCCGTACAAGGAAGTCATGCTGTGTCAACATCAGATTTTTTATTATTATCACGTCAGATTATTTGACTGTTTATTTTTCTATATTATGTTTCATATTTACTTCTATAAGCCCCATGTGATACTTTATGGTACATGGGTAATCATTTGTGTTTTTAATTTAAAAAAAATATTAGCATTGTGAGAAAGTGGAACATGAAAAAATTTTGAATTCAGCGGCAAACTTTCATGACACAACATCGGACACAATCCATATTTAACCACTTCTTGCATTTTAATGCCTTTTTGGTGACTATTAATTCGTGGGGAATCTTATTCTGGAATTGTGCCCTTTCAATTAAATACCTACATTTCATTTCATTTCGTCGTCAACGGACAGCTGGTCCAGTGGATAAATGTTCATCAAGTGTTATCTACTATATGCATGTAACCTGGGCTATGTCCTCTCGGAACAAATTCAGAAATACATGATGGTACATGAAAGTAGTGATTTTCACATTGTTTACAGTAAGAAAATTAACACCCATTCAGCTTATAAACTATAATGGCTGAAATTCTGTTACACACATTTTAATATAATATGTAAATACCTACAACACCAGTGACTTATTTCTGCACTTACTTCAGCCAAAGAGATACTAGCCACAATGGACAAATCTGCCAGAGTGAGCTGTTTGCCCGCTACGTAAGTATTCATCTCTAGTGTATGCTCCAGCATGAACAAAGAACTTTTATAACTGTATTCTTTTGTCACATCCGGCGTCTCTCCCCGGAATATGAGAGGATACTGAAAAAAGGATAAAGGGGAAACATTAATCATTTCGTCTTTTGGTGATCACAGAGAAAACTTGCGAAAACCTTTTTGAATAACCAAAAGAAATCTTGCAAAAAAAAAAAAAAAATCTGAAATGTTTCAGATTTTAAATTACGTCCAAAGGGGCGTTTTTTAACATTTTGTGTGTTACCTTTCTTTATTAAATATCATGTTCCTCGCATTTAAACCATAAGATCCAGTGCAACAGCAATATCGCAAAATAGTTTTAAAACGAGCATATCTTTAGAATTTCCGATACAGAAACTCACGCGCTGGAGATAAAAATGTTTTTTCTGCACAACGTTGCCATTGCTCGCTTTGAAATCCTTGAGTTTGTTAATCAAAAATTCGTCAAAGTTTTAAAAAATAGGAAATCGATCATAAAACAAATTTCAAATTTCAAATTTGGTCTTCCACATGCTCATATTCGTTGGAGGATTACGTTATTCAAAATTCGATGACTCTATGTACCGTTGTTTTATCACAATACGAGAAATATACATACATTTATGCAGATTTTTCATTATTTAATTTCTTCAAATATAATGCAGGACTCTAACATTTTGTGGCAACAGTTTGAAAAGTGAACCGACATTTATGAGTCCGACGCAAAATGCCAAAACGAAACTAATAGTCCTTCGGGATTCAAATCCCTTTGGACTAAAAAAAAATGTCAGCAGCTACAGTTATTGATTTGTAGGTATAAAGATAATAACCACATGATATGCAGCTACTTAATAGTGTGATGGAAAAGAGATTAGACCTAATACCTTGGTACCCCACCTTCAGTTAAAATGCAATGTAATGCTTTCTGAAGTCGAGCCAACTGGTTATTTCAGATAAAGATTTTTCATTAAAAAGATCTGCTTTTATAAGTAGGAACGAACAAATATTAAAGGAAATAGTGACACTATACTACTTTTTTAACACATAGACGCTACTGAAAGCTATCCTGTAACTGAGTTTATGTAATATTTGATCATATAAAATAATTTTTCAGTAATGTTAATTTTAGTGCGCCTTGTTATAATATATAAAAATTAATTAAAATAGTTTAGATATTTTCTGATTATCTGTACCTCAATTTTAACATTTAGTAGAACTGCAGCGTTTTCGATGTAATTTCCCCTGTACAGTAGACAACAGCCAACACAGGCAAGTGCAGGGTATTTCAGTGCACGAAAAGATTTAAAGCTTTATGTTTAAGTATTATTTCTCTGAGCATTACCCGCCGGCTGTAAAAATTCAAATAACCGCAGTATATATATATATATATATTTTTTTTTTTTCCGATTTACAAAAATGTCTTGTTTTTTGTGAAATGTTTCTTTTTGTAATTATAACAGTACTTATGAGCCATAAAATTAGCCAAATAGGCATTTTTCGCCGATTCACGAAGTCGCCAATGAGTTTGCAACTATTCATGAATGTGCAGTAATAAGAAAATGCCCAGCAATAATGGAACATCCCCCGCCCAGTCGGGAAAGTGGTTCTGATTGCCACACTGAAGGGTTCGAGATCGAATCCTGGAAAAGGCATGGATGTAATTTGTCCGTCCCTTTGGAGGTAACGGTGGTCCACCTATTAGGTTCCTCTATAATAAAGAAACCCCTGCTTCCGGCCTAAGGAGTGCCTAAAAAAATACGTATAAACGGTGTGTGGAGCCTTATGGCTATTGTGGCTGACCTTTGGACAGTCGGGTGGGCCGAGCTTCGCTCACATTATGATACAATACCTATAAACGGCTACAGCCTGCCATCGGAAAAAAATAATAATGTAACAACCATGTTGTATATTGTTTATTACAATATTAAAGCACTTCATATGATTTCTCAAAATTATTAGTTTTTAGCAAACTAGTACGCGTATTTAAGTAGTTAATAAATTTCAACATTTCAGATGCTGATTTTAATTAAAGTTATTTGATATATATTTATCATAAAACGGCAGGGTCTTACCTCCTTCTACAAGCAAGTATGATTTTGCTCAATTAAATTTATACTGAAGAATTTATACTTTTCAAAAGATAAAGAAGAGACCTCTGCCTTTATCTTTTGAAATAATTCAGGTACATGTTGTAAACAAACGGGAAAAACTGTAGAAGTTTGCTAATTATTGAAAATCTTACACTAAATTTAGTATTCTTAATGAGCCTTTCCAAGAAATCACAACAAAGATCACCAAATGTTGTTAAAAAAAAGTTCATTGAACGAGTTTTCCGCATAGTGTAGCATAATTAGTAGTCATGCGGTTTCATTTTAGTAGTCATTTTGGCCTTTCTACATCATTTATTAACTTCTGGTAAGTAGTTGGGTTCTTCGAAACGAACTGAAAATGTATTTCATACTTTGTCGGTTTGTCATTTGGCATTCTACAGAATGCCTAGGAAATGTGTGAAATATGAATCGTTTCGTACATTGCCGGTTAGTTTTAGGCATTATATGCAATGCCTAGGCATTCTATAGAATGCCGGATTTCAAACTTTGCCGGTAACATAACAAAAAGAAACTGAAATTGAATTGTACATAAGAAAGAAACTGAAGTGTAGTTAGTAATAAATAACAAATCTAATGGCAGATAGTTTTTATCAGACTTATTAACTTTAATGAGAAGCACGGAACCCTTTTTTTTTTTTTTTTTTTTTGTCATCAACAAGTTTTTTATTGTTGGAAGAGTAGGTAGTGGCTGCCATTTGAATATACAGTTGTCCAAGTGTTCATCAGTGAGTCTGTTTCTGTATTTGTTTTTAATAAATTTCATACTGGAAAAAGAAATCTCAGATATATATGTAGAGTTGAATATTTTCTTTCACTTTGAGTCAAACCTGGACCAAAATTGGTTATTTTTCTTTAGGAACAAGAGGCCAAATATTTTCAGAGCTTGAAGAAAGCGATTTAACACATAAATCATCTTGAAAGCCAATTAGTACCAACTCCACTGCCTCATTATCTTCTTGAAAATCAAAATGCTCCATAACACAAGTAGAAAACTCTTACACATTCATTAATCTCTATAAAAGAAGATTTAACAAACAATTGAAATCCTTTCGAAATCTTGGAAGCGTTTGTTGAATTCATGACTTTTTTACGAACTGATACACTTGTATAGCACCGTAAAAAGACTCATTTGTCCTCTACCTGGGTAGAGAAGTAATCGGTTTCCCATTCCGAATGAAAGTTCTTTGCTTTTTGCTTGAACACGCCATCGTTAGAACAGACCTAGTTTGAACAACGGATAGTAACTTGGAACTATCCAAGTTAGCAAATGTCTAATATACACACGAAACACATAACGTGCACAACCTCACGCGTATATAATCAACCATGAAGCTGAGAATGGCAGTTGTAGTCAGCGTCATCTCAGTAGAGGAATCAAGGTTAGCCAATCGGAGCGTTTACGCGATCTACCGAAAATGTCCCTGCGAACTACTAGTAGCACGGGATGGACAGTTTGGCGACCACTTGTTCAAGCCATGACACAAGTCTCAGTGGCCATAATAGGAACTACAGGAGCCATTCAATTTGTAAACGAGCATACCCGACATTCAATTACAGTGCTGTTCCTTTTGCGTTCGCCATTAACATAAACTCATTTATTAGAATATTTAATACATGCCACTGACAAATTGTCCTTCAAAGAACATTTTTCCATTGGGCACACTTTTGCATGAAGCTAAGTTACCAAAGCTGCAGTTACTTCTTTTGTTTTTCTTCGGTTAAAAATAATTATTTTAGTACTCACATAGGAATACTCAGCCTTTCCGAAAATTTTCCTTGCTGAATTATATGTATATCAAATTAGTTCAAAATTTCCGTATTGTGTTTTTTGTTGAGAGCGCTTTCCACTTTCTAGATGTTTTAGCAGTCAGTTGCATTGGAAGAAGCTCGCAGAGAACAGCAGTCGAGTTCGTATGAATCAAATGGCATAGAAACGAAATGTTCTGTCGTCAGCAATCTTGTCATGTGTGCAAACCTACGCAGCTGATTCTATTATCTACTTTATCTTTCAATTCTGTCTTCTCTTTGTCAATCAAATTTCAATTCTTACACTATGTGAGGCCTACGTCTTCGAATTTCTCCGTATTCTCTCATGCATCATTGGCAATTATGCAAAGAAACATCGATGAATAAGTCAGAGTAGAACAATGTATAATCGAAATTATGTGTCTTATTAAATGGGATATTTTACGGTTAACATGAATAAGAATGAATTAGGAGTGGGGCGAAAAGATGTATAAATGTAAAAGACAAACGAAAAAAATATAAACAATCCTTCCTTGTCTCAATAATCATTTCGTTTTTTGTCATTTGTGAACAACTGTAATATTGGTTAAAAATTTTCAGTCCTGTAATTTTGTAGGCAAGAAATATATTTGCATGTTAATAAGTTTAATAACGAATTCCAAAAGATATAGTAATTATGCAGTACTGTGCAATTAAGTACTATGCAATTAGAACTAACCTCTACTGGAAGAAAAATTTAATTACCTCAAATCAAAACAAAATTCATGCTTTCTATGCTAATTTTAGCCATTTTCAAGTTTATATTGAAATTTTGCTCCAGGAATTTAATAATTCACAATCAGAGTGAAGCATTACATGCATTACTTTTAATGGATTAAGTGTGAAATAATATTCGTAGCAATTAAGAGTCGATTCACATCGATTAACCGATTAACAGGTTTGTTCATACATCATACGGGCAACGCTTTTTTTGCTCAACCTAGTTTGCCTGCATATGTTACGGATATTACATTACAAAAGTTTAGTTTTTGAATATTCCGTATTATTTATTTTAATTTAATTTTCTCCTTCTAGATGGCGTTACCTGACCTTAAGTATGTAGAGTTTTTATTTTTATTTTTCTGTTGAATTCTGCAAGTACATTGTGTTGCATTTAATAAACGTTTCACTAATTAAAGTTTTATTAGAACTTAATAAGCTATTACAATATTCTTAGAAAAAACATATAAA